ACGACCACGCTGTGTGCAAGTGGGAAATCTGAGAGAGAACTTCCTCCCAAAGGTAAAAGCCAGTGAGTGGTCGACTGCCCTTACAAAAACACGTTATAATGCTACACTTCTTCAACTACCCAACATAATTTACGACCCTCCCTCGAAGATTCTCTCAAATGAACAACTAGAAAATTCTACGCCGCCTTTGCCTTCGTCTTCGTCGCAGCCTTCGCCACCGCTACCTTCGCCTTCGTCTCCTCCGACGCCTTTGCCGCCACCTTTTGCCTTGTCCGACGTCTTTGCTGTCGCTTTCGCCTTCTTCGCAGCCTTCGCCGCCGCCTTTGCCACCTTCGCCCTCTCCGACGTCTTTGCCGCCGCCTTCGCCTTCGTCGTAGCCTTCGCCGCCTGCGCCGCCGCCGCCCTTATAAGGGCCCTCTAATGGAGCGGCTCCGCGCGCTACCCGCGCTCCTGGCGGCGCGGCGCAAAAACGCGTCTGCGAGGCGAGTGCGCGATGAGCGCTTTTGTCTCCGCGCGGGCGACGCCACGCCACGCCACGCCACGCGACGTTCGCTTTGTCCTCGGACGCCCATTCACTCCCGCGCCGACGCTCGCCATCAATCTCCCGCGATCAATTTTTAAGGAGTAGAAATTGCATTTAGCCCATTCTTCCGCTCTTAACCGCTTCTTCGGGAAGCTAGGGGAACCGGTACAGTAGTGGGCACCAGTATAGTGATGGGAACAGTAACTATAGGGGGTGTAATAATAAGATTTTCAAACAGCGAGAGGCCATCTCCGTGTTGTGTGTGCCTTTGAGTTTGTAATCCCGGAATATGAATCGAATGTGCCCCGCAGTGAGCGTAGGTACACTTGAATAGTTAGCGGCGCGCTCCACGAGTTGTCTGTGCATCGAGACGTTGTGGGTTCGTTAGCGGAAGTGTGTGCAGTTATTAAGGATTTAAGTCAATGCGTCTGTTTTATTTGCGGTCCACTCAATGCGTAGTGTAGCCAGGTTCATAATATACGTTTTCATGTATGTTTTCACCTTCTCCAAGCAGACCATAAGCCAAAAAATGTAGAGCGCATAACTAAATATTTTTGACATGCAGGACAATGATGGGCAAGGAGTGCCCGCACTGTAATTTGAGAAACTTATTTTCAATGCATTGCTGTAATGTTCATATTGAATTTTCAAACATTTTTTCCCTTGTTAAGCGAAAATATACATTTATAAATATTTTGAACAGTGATGAGCACTATATCCATCACTGAAATTTGAATATGCCCATAACTGCCTCAATAAGTGTTCTGGATTTAAACGTTATCACTAGGGGACGGATTTTGATAACCTAAAACATCTTCAAAAATGATTAATAAATTGCTCTTAAAATGTTTTTAAAGTGTTCTAAAAGCAGAGAAAAACGACATAATTTTTTTAAACCATTTCATATTATTAAATTCCACTTATTTTGAGTTATGAAGACGCTCTGAAGACAAAAAAGTTCTCGCAGTGAACAATTAAATCTGTTGGATATGTTACTGATGTAATTGAGGCTTCTTCCCTTCGTTTAAGTAAACTCAGTTTGCAAACATTTGGTTTGGACTGTTATTTACTAGGAAATCTCTCTCTCCTTTTCAAAGTCACTTTACTTTTCATACGAGTGAGCTCTGTTCTGAATTACAAATACCTTTAATAGCAATGTACTGATCGCCATAAGAAATCTCCAACCAGCAGATGTCGCTGTATTTCAACTAATCAAGAGCGTGGGGAAGAAAGGAGTACTAACATGTTGAGAAAATCCTTCTGAGGCTGTCTCCAGAAAAGACTTCGCTCCAATGTTGGAGAAGCTAGTGCGCGCAATAAAGCCAGAAACTTTGCAAAATTGTTTTAGAGCTTATAGCCTTCGTCCCTGAAGCCCTGAGAGCACCGATTTCACTAAACGACCGGAGGGAATGTACAATGACATCGCGCGTCAAATGTGGATAATGAGAACATTGTAACCACAACACACAGAACAAATTATTGTTTGAAAAATTCTGCGATATTGTTGGAGAATAAAGAGAATAAAAGTTCAATAACATAAAGCATAAAGCGTAAACAAGTAATAGGGCTAACCTCAGGAAAACCAACATCAATTCTACACGAAGAATGACTTAGTCATCGATTCAAGGTTCACACACACTTATAGGAGGTGAAAAAATAAGGACATTTGTCAGGCGAGCACTCCTACAGGCATTTGTAACATGGAAAGGGGCAGTAGCAAAACTCTTTCCTCCAGAAGTTCACAGAAGTTTTTTCTTCAGGGCAGATTCCAGTGTGGAAAGACATTCAATTTTAAGAACTAATGTGTTTTCCGCTAAAGGGATAAAAAGGTGTTTGAATCCTCAAAAGATTATGTAGAGGAAAGTGATTCAGCCGACGAAAATACATTTTTTGTGTAAAATGTTTAGGCTTTATTGAATGGCTGAAGCTTAAATAAACAGCAGTAACAAACCAACAATGCTATTTGACTTTGTTGGACATTTTACAATTCGTTTGTCTGAGTGCCCATCACTATATTACAAAGTGCCCGAGATGGTATTCAAAATACCCATCACAATATTTGCTGCTTTATTTTAGTTTCACATTTTATAAATTGTTAAGTATACAGTTCAACTATTTAAATTAGTAGTCTTATAAATGTATATAATGTATGTAGTAATTAATTTGCCAACTATGAATTTTCTATTATATTAACAAATATACATTACATAAAACATATTGGCTGCACTTAAAGTGCTCACTGTATCCTCTACTCTATATTTTTAGTATTCCAGTCCCGACTGTGGAAGGATTTTTTCTATTAGCTACATAGCTAGGTCTAATTCACACGCTGTCTGGAGGAGAATTCTAGCTAGGCCAGTTGCTCTGATAGGTAGTTTTCCGTGGTTTCACCGATCAATAACCAGCCGAATGCTGGAATAGTGTCTTAATAAATAGGCCACGATCCGCGTGCGATCTTTCCTCCCCCTCCCCTTGTCCTATCCTTATCCTTTACTTACACACACACACACACACACACACACTTACATGCACTACGCTACCACATTTGCCGGGAGCCTGGAGTGCTTCCACCTGATGGGATTCACCTGGTGGGGGAAAACCCGCAAGACGATGGGGAGGGCGTCGCCGGATCTCGCAATCCAGCGGGTGAAGATCACCGCTATCCCTCGCGATAAGAACATGCACCATACGTACGGCACTCATCACCTTAGCGGTTGACGCGTCCGGAATCGCCAATCTGTCAATTTATATTACTAACTTCGACTGCGCAAAAAAATGAGAGAAAACTATGCAGCCCCTGCCATGTGTAAGGTTTCTGAGATACTGAGGAACTACGCAAAAATCCAACAACAATGAAAACAGTTTCTATTTTGACTGAAAAGATAAAAGATTTTATTCTACATTCCGCCTATTCTCGTAGTGTGCTGAAATTCTTATGCTTACTTATAACTACTTACGAAGTTGCGACACAATGTTATTCAACTTAATGCAAGTTTAAGCACGCTGGCGTCGATGTGCTCAAGAAAACGAGCGCACATTCCAGTTCTCCCCTATACATCGCACATTTTTTACTATTTTTATTACCTATTTATCAAATAAATAGATAAATAAACCAACGTAAAGCATTAGGAACCAAAATTTAAAGAGGCGAGAATACAATTTATTGTTAGAACTGATAATAATAAAGAGGTTAGAATACAATATAACGTTAACTGATAATAATACGTCGTTAATTCTGTGTACGCTAAGATGTAGATTCCTATTTTTGGTCGTCGCGGTTGCTACGACTTTGCATATATTTATTTCTCTGGGAAATATGCGTAGGCCTCACCAGTTTCATAGATTCTGAATTAAATCATGAGATGTTGGATGACTTGAAAAGAGAGGTTGCATGTGATCCTAAGCGTCGGTAATTATTGAGGAAGCAAAAACACACTGAATGAACTTAATTACTTTTATTTTAGTATCGTTAGAAGATTGCATATACGTCATAAACGTTACAAATATCTAGGGCATGTAGGATGGACGAAGATGATAACATCTTTTTACAATGAACATGTAGTGGTGAACTCCGTGAATCGAAATTTCACACGTGGCCCCTGATTAGCAGGCAACTAATCGTGCATTAGTGTTTGGCAGGCACAGAATATCATTTTGACTACCGTCAGAACGTGTCTTGTCAAACACCAGCGTATGATAAGTTGCCTACCAATCAGGGGCATATGTCAAATTTGCAATGTTGTTATAAGAAATTTCCCACTACTCGTTCATTAGCAAAACGTTATCATATTTGACATCTCTGCTAATAAGTTCAAACATTTATTCTGAAATATTCTGTGGACAAAATGTGCAAAGTATCCTCTTGTATACTATTCTACACTTATTCAGACTTAACGCACATTGTAATATGTTCACACCAATTCATAGCTTTATTATTTTTACCACGATTCATCATTACATTTACAATTTCCCAAGTAAAACTGTTCGCGGGCAATTTTCCGCATAACATCGGTCGCGGACAACTTTCCATATGAAATAATTCGAGGGCAACTCTTCCCGTACTCTAATCGCATTTCAGTTTTCAATGTCGGCGTCTGGAGCACTACTATTCATCGAAACATCTGCTCGCGATGGCGTTCAAAGCGACTGACTGCCGCGGGTCAGGTTCTGACGGTTTCGGCGACAGAAGAACACATGGTGCCATATTTTCCTCCAAAGGTATAGTAGTACGATCGTATTAAACATAAAGAAAATTAGAGTGAAGTTTCTTAACAACATTGATAGTTAGTAATACTACGGAGGAAAATATATCTAGTCTTTCCATGAAGACGTCCTAAAAATACAATTATACAGACTCTGAAAAACCATTTGATAAGCAGAACTGGACAGTAAATCACGACGTGAACGACAATGAACGTGAACGATCAGAAGTTTGATAAATTGAGAGCAGTAAAAACACTTGAGCTGATTAGGTAAACTAACGTAGCTGCAGATAAAGAGGGATAATCCAAGGTTCACTGTAGGCGCAATCTCCCAAAATATAAGCCAACCTACACAAACGCAAAGAACAATTTGTTAATGTTAATTAAAAATTAGTTTATTGATGCCCAGTACCTCGCGATGTAATATCGACAGACTCCGGTTTCAAAGAGGTTCCGTAGCGGTTTCAAAGAGATAGGACACATCCAGAAAGGAGCAAAAGCAATTCTAAAACTTATATCGGAGCCAGCCAGGTGGGGCAGCTTCCATTCCCCAGCGGAGAAGGGCAGCGTCGGGGAGCAGAAGGCAGGATACGCAGCGCGGTGGATGACGTAGCGCGAGGAGGGGGACCCAGCCACTGACGAAAACGAAATAGCGCGAAGGGACGGCGTTCGCCCTCTGTACGATCCATACGCTTCGCATACATTGCAACCGCCACTCTACACTGCGATTTATCCAACTCTGCCCCTGGCAGCTATCAGTTGTTGACAGTTTCATCCGATTGGGAGCTTGAGCGCCACCATAGTGACATCACTATTGTGACGTTCAAGCTCCCGATAGGATGAAACTGTCAATAGCAGATACCTGCCAGGGGCAGAGTTGCATAAATCGCAGAATAGTTTCTGCTCTACGTTTGGTCGCTAGATGCAACCGCCATCCTACTTCGTTTACCACCAAATGCGATCTAAACCTTTAATTTTTACATACGTCCCAGCCGACCCAAATGTGTGGCGCATCAATTACCGTACTTCTCTGAAATTAAGTACTGGTAATATTTTTTAAGAGAAGCTACAGACAACCAAACAACTTGACCACACCTCAATACTATCTCTAAATAACTTATACGATTCTTTTTCGACTCAGGGCGTGTTGTGTCTTTCTCCATTGTAAAATTGAACAATAAACAAAATTATCTTGTATTCAATAAAAAACAAGTATATACACAAAAACAAAATGTAACACACAAAAAGAACAAAGAAACATGCAGATACACTCAAATAGTTCATGAAACACTTTTGTAATACAATCAGCACTTCCTTCGTGCTACAGAAACATTTTCAATAACTCAGCCAGTTATGAAATGAAAATTTTAAATTAACTTCTCCCTTTGCAGAGTGCACTTTTCTACCTGATAATCTCTCATTAACTAGAGCTTTTTTCCAATTTTGAAGTTGTCTACAAAATTTTAAATCAAACAGGAATTGCTTTAAATGAATTAAAACTTTTACTAATCCTCTAATAACCAAGATATGAAAATGTGTGTTGTTTCAATAAAATATTACTATTTAACAAAGAAATTTACATTACATGATAGACTTTCCGTCATATTTCCATCGTTCATTAAAAGAAGGTTCACAACTACAATAACTCGACTTTAAATACTCTCTATTACACAATACTCTTTCAAAATGGAATTCAGAGAGATTATTATCCTCACAAAATGAATACGTAGTCTACTAAGGATAACTATAATTTCTACATCTGTTCATCATATTATAAGGCACATGGCCTTCCATTTAATCTTTTATGTTATCCCCTCCTCAAAATTTATGCACTCTTGACCTTATTTCTTGATGGCTGCTTATACGCTCTCTCACGAACAGCCTCTAGTAAGTAGCTCATGTAACATAAATCTACTTGCCAAGAATTGAAATGCTTTCGGATCCAGTAGATCTGTAGCTATGGCTGGACTCCGAATATCTTAATTACCTGCAGGGTACAAAGTAATTCAGTACACTCCGGCCGTCAAATCCAGTATAAATACCAAAGTACCAGGTAAAGAAATTCTAAGTCTCTCAATTCAAACTTCAAATAGAATGTACATATAACAGAATTAAACACAAAATTCAGTTCATTATATTTACTCATCTTTTAACTATAGTTAAAATGATGGGAAGGGGCTCTGTAACTCAAGAAAACGTGCACAGATGATCTCCCCCATACGTCGCATACAGTTTTTACTGTTTTTTGACTAAATAAATCTAAATCTCCTAGAAACCAGATATAAAAGACTAAAGAAAATAAAGCTGAAAACTATTAGCCGCGTTGGATGCGATTATTTTTATTCTAATCACATTCATTCAATTTTCTCTAAACCGCATTAGCGTATTCCACACAGCTACTTGAATGTAAATCCGAAAGCATTAACCTCTTAAAAGAGCTTTTTTTCATTACATCCAATTTCTGTATAATCTTCAAATTCAACGTCGTCTAACGTATTTACTTCTCATGTACACTTTCGGAGGCTATACTCTACAACAGTTTGGACGCAAGTGAGATCTGACAAAGCGTCACGACCGTCGATTTCCCCACTGCTGCCTATCAAATTCTCCTCTTCTTCCCCTCATTTCTCCTCAGCCAGCCCGTTCGCCTCAAGGCCGTCGCCAAATCACCGACGAGCGTCGCTGGACTGTGTAAGTTCGGTGACGCTTTCTACAGAGGTGAGCGTTCGAAATCTTCCACACCGAAATCTTCCTCAATGTGAAAAGCACCAGCCTACCCACGCCGAGCGGCCACAACATACTACACTACTATTTGTGAATATTGCAGCACCAAGGAAATATACTATTACAATGACATTTATTCCACAGATTAGGAATATCACAATATACAAATGATTAGAATTACAGAACTATACTTGCATTTTGATCTTGAGTATTTAGTACGGTTAGAAGCCGCCACGCGCTGTCATCAGAGACTCTGGACATCAAGGCATGGATTCAAAGAGTGCCTGGATATGCTGCTGGAAAACACGCTGTCACCCGGTTTCTACACGTGACCACAAAGCATCGTCAGTGGTTGCAGAATATATCCCAGACATGTTCGATGAGCGAAACCAGCTATACCACGTTCGATGGCAAGATACCATATCCCAGGCATGTCAGGCAAACGCCTAGGCCACGGAAGCAGTGGTACCCGTCGTTCTTTGCAGAGCATTTTCCCATTCTTCGCCACATGCGATCTCGCATTATGCTGCTGACATATGGGCAAGTGGAGCTGCTTCCAGTAGAGGCAATATCTCTGGTTCTAAAATCTCCCTGATAGAGCGTTTATTGTTTAGATTGCTCTCAATACGTATGAGGCGAGATAGCACATAGCAAATGGTGTCCCAAACCATCACACTTGACGTATGCCAGCTATGGCGCGGAACAATGCAGGCTGGCAGATTGAGATCACCACGGAAGCATCGAACCCGTACGCGGCGATCGCTGTAGCACAAATTGAAGCGGGAAACTCGTTCGAAAATACATTTTGTAACACATCACATCAATGAACACGTTCACGTGCCCATTGTTGTATGAGGCGTTGCTGGTTTTTGGTCAACGGAAACCGACACAGTGGTGTGCGTGCCACCAATCCAGCCCTCAGCAGACGGCGTCGAATCGTCATTCCAGACCTGACTACACCGATTGCAATGCTCCAAAGTCAACCAACACTGTAGACGACGCTGTTCTGTCGATTACGGCCATGCGGACTTCGGCGGATGGCGGTCATCTCACCCTGCAGTCACATTGTGTGGTCCAGTACCCGATCGTTGCTGCGTGGCCCTCCTCTGTCCACTGGTTCCACACACCCATCACTGTCGTAGCAAACGCGCACCGTTCGAGTCGCAATGTAACGGTACGACAAACCAGCTTTTCAGAGACTGACCATTCTGCCCCGTTTGAACTCATTCAGATGGTGACATTGAGCCCTTTGGCATCAATGAGGCATACCGGCACTTGCTTGCACGTTTCAATGTTTCAATGTCGTTAACGGACACCGTACACCGACTGAGTGTGGCGTAACACTAACCTGACCTGTCACACAAAGGAGGACGCTGTTCGGTAAACATGCACGCCATCTCTACGCAAATTTAATCACTTCTAATGGTTACACCGTCCTACACTCCACCGATTTTTAACTTATTTCGACTATTCCTTCTGGGTTTTGTAATTTTCACAAACGCCAGTGTAGTTCGCTTTCTGCTTTTCTATCGTTAAACGGTTATTCTCCTGGTTATTGTGATCAACGCTGCAGTGTTTTTCGGACCAGTTTGTAGCATATGGCTGCAACAGACGCATTTCTTACATTACTGACCAGCGGTTTCTTTGGATGAAGTAGTAATTTAAGTAGTTCTTGATGTAGGGCAACTTCACGATTGTATTTGGTTTTTAATGGCAGATTCTTGACTCACGTTTTGACAGGCATTTTGAAATTTTCTGCTCCCTGACAACTCAGTTCAAATACATTCGATTACCTTATAATTCCATAACTTTCGTCCCAATACAAAGTTCTAATGCCATACCGAAAGTATTTTCAGGTATGGACAAAATTTTATTTTCTTCAGCCAACTTTTTAACCATTCTTATCAGTGTCGTTTAATTTTATTGTATGTCCAACTATGAAAAATTTGAGTTTTCAACGTGCCATCTGCTGACTGAAAGGAATTGATAAGTTCCTTAACAATATCTTTGTCTGATTTTTAATGATTGTCGAAGGATATTCATGCGAAAAAATGAAATTGCGATGGCCCTTTGTACTTTTGGCCGTTTTGAAATTTCTCTTGGGGATACTGTTTTTGTTGCAATTTGATTTTCTTGACGGGGGGTTTCCTATTGCAATCAAACTCTTGTTTATCTTCTATACATTCATTTCGCAGACATGTGACAAACTATCTGAAGAGGCTAAATTTTCATTTCCTTGATTTCCACTGTTATATTCACTGGACGTTCCGCTACTTTCATTAATGCCACGGGAGTCACTGATCTCAACGCACGTTTCACTAACAGAAAGTATTTTTGAATAAACTTTTATTAGTAATGGTTATAGGAACAAGCCAGCATTGTAAAACATTTTAAATAAAGGAAAGAAAATCTCAGAAAAATTAAGAGAACAGTCTACTTATTATTTGACGAATTAATCGAGATAATATAATAAAAGTATATAAATATTGTAATGAAAATCTCCCCTTGTTTTAAAATGCTGTTTTTTACCATAACACACTGAGGCCGATTCGTGTAAGTTTGAAAATTACCTTTATTATTATCGTCCCATTTTCACATTCTCAATGTGTACGTATGTACGGATTAATTTACGTAGTAGGGAGAGTTAAAGTTACAGTAGGGTAATAGGGTCCCAAATATTGCAAAGAAAATTACCATTTAGGGCGAAGTTTTACTGCTTTTTAATATTCTTACGATAATATTTCCGTTCTACTATTATAAAACCGAAAAATTAAGAAAATATAAAAAATATACTTTGAGCGGCGATAGATGGCAGCTGGCAAGAGTATGTGGCAAGTCCGAATAGCTAGCCGAGACTACAGTAAATAAAAAACGAATATGGAAAAGTCTGTGCCATTCTGTAGCGCCACTAGTTTTATTTTGTTATTTTCGATTATTGTTTCTTTGGAATTTCAGTAGAAAAAACGTTCAGTTTAGATAAACCAATCGCAAAAATCTCTCATTTGATCGTTGATAATGATGTGTGTTCGTTTGATCTTCGTGTCAAGACCACGGATTGCTGTACTAACGCCCTCACGGTCACCCGTCTCGACGTAATAGTCTTGCTGCCGTAAATGCCACCTTCCCCAATGATGACTGTTGCAAGGGCTGCTACAGAAAATATTGTCCGTTTAGTTCAAAATAACATGTCCAAAATAACATTTTTATACGCATACTACTATCAAAATACTAAAATACTAGCAAAATGTGGCGTCGCCGACGCTGTTAACTGTTTTAAAAATAGTTTCATGTGTTGGAAATTTCTTTCATATTTAATTTCTTCCACGCCGAGTTTTTTGCAAACATATTCTTTCAGTATCTGGTTACCAACTAATCGTAGTAGCTAATAATGTTATACTCCCATTCAGAAGTTCCTAACATCCATAGGCATTGTGTGTTACCTCCATTCGGGATATGAACTGGTCCTATTGCAATTTAAAAATTATAATCTCCGTAACAAATACTTGCAGGTTTTGTACAGCTTTTTTGCTAATACGCACAAAAATGCACATAACACATTTGCGTTAGCACAAATCCTAAATGCAAAAATGCAAATCATTCCAATTTAGTTCCGAAAATTCTGTCGCTACTTCTTTTATAACTACATTTGGTTCTTCCCTGGTTTTCCTTAAAACTTCCACATTTTCATCCCCTAATTTTTGAAAAGAAATAAACTTCACAAACTTATTCTAATTTGTGTTCACTTCTACTATTGCAATTGCTCTATTAATCTTTTTGTATGCTAACGTAGCGTGGCATGAATATCTAACATTAAAAGGTTACTATTTTGTATGTTTATGTTAACAAGGTGTTAGTTAAGTTGAATAAACATAAGTTGTGGGTCACATTCATTTAAAAATTGGTATTTGCACACTTATGTAAGAAAGTAAATTTGAGAAGTCAAATATAACGTTCATTCATTCTCTAGCATTACTCACAGTTTTGTTTTCTCCATATTAAATTGAAATTATAAGTTCAATGAGTTCCGAGGTAAAACTGTCGTTGGTTTTCACAAATTATTTTTTAAATATGACAATACTTCGACTCAAAATTAAAATCAAACTGCAGCGCAATTTTCTTGGTAATTCAATTGCTCTCTTAAAGATTAGTGTTGCCAACGTGAAAAAAATTATGGCGTATTAAACAAAACATGCCTTTGGGTTTCGGTATTTAATCAACGCCACCTGCATAGATCGATTTAGGAGGCGTTGGTTTAATTCCTGGCATTATCACTAAAATCGCAGCGCCAAAACGAAAAAACACGTTTTTCGAAATTTCTTTAAAATTTCTAGTGGGATCCGAAAACCAACTATCAGTTCTCCATCAAAAAACGAGACTCTTCGAATGACACCACATACGTCTCGAATGGTGCACGGGAAGTGGTCTAGACGCCAGTGACGGAATGGCAAAAGTACGCATCTTTACACTCAAAGAGTGTTACTGAAATACTGTACAGTGATGATACATCATTGTTTTCCTCTTATCGAGATCTACCCATTGTTAATGAGAAAAATATATAGATCCATTGACAAAATAAAAGATGATTAAATTTCTCGAATACCAAAAATGTTATATACACTTTCTCTACGTCATTTACCCCATGATTCTGTATTGTTTAGCGAACACTGCATTTCGATATCTCGACCTGCTTAGAAGTTATGAGGGTGGCCCATAGTTGGTGGGACACCTGTATGTATTATCCGTTTGTAGTATATTGTACGTGATAATGAAAGGTATAAAATTCGTAGACCAAACCTTAATTCGTGGTAAGCGGATAGTTGCCTATTTTGGAATCCAGAAAAATAGTTCAAATACCAATGTTATGGTCAGGAAAAAACATTGTGGAAGCTCTCCGTCATCTCCATTGTTGCTTGATAATTCATTTCAATTATTCCCTCCAGCCAATTATTATCAATTATTATTTCGAAATCAAGATAATATTTTGTAATATTCACATAAAAACGTTTGATGCTGTTTTTCCATATTCACATCAAACTTGTAATACAATTTTAAATCATTCCTATTTAATACACTGTGATGTAACTGTCGATAATATCCAGTGAGGCGCAAGAGCATGAAGATGCGTCACACACATGCGAGGTAGCAGAAAATATGCGAAGGTTTTTTACCTCTATTTTTTTTAAGAGAGAGGGACCAAGTGTAGGGTTCTTTTCGTGCTTGGCTCACTCTAATCAAGTCAAGACGCGTCAGGTAACAAATTAACAATTCAATGAAATCAGAATTATTTCCCTTTGAATCAATGACTTGACGATGAAAAGAACTGTCGCCGCATCTAAATAATATATCATTTACATATCTGACTTTCAAATCTTCCTATACTCTTTACTTTGTTTGAAATATCCCTTCAACCAGTGCATACTATTTCGTTACGAGAAAACACATTTACCCTTTATAACCTTTAATAATATCAAAATAACTATCATTATACTCCTGATATTTAAATTACACTTGAACCTTGCACAACATAAACAGGAATAAAAGTATTTTCAAATATTAATATTTACACCCACTCAAATTCGTCAGATTGGAGAATGCATAATAATTTGATGGTTACACTGTTCCTGGGTTCCTGTATTATTCCTGCGTTCGCTCCTATTCAAAAAATCTATATTTTCTGTACCTTACAGTTTCGCTTCCGGCGTTGCCGTGTCCCGCCGCCGATTTGGTGGCCTTGGCAGCACTTCCCCCAGTGTCGTCGACTCCCAGCTCCGCGCCGTGGAGGCCAGTCTCCCAACCGCCCTGCGACTACCTTTCTGATGTGTCCGTGCTCCACCCGAAGTTTCGCTGCACACGCAGCTGAACTCGTCGCTCGCTGCGTCTGATCGTGGAGATTTTGCACGCGCAACCAAGAATTCCCTCGGCGGATCGCTAACACAATGTCCTTCACGCCATCACGCCGGTGCCCGTAGTTCCTACAGTCATAGCATACACTTGTCCGGAAAATGCAGTTATTTCCCGTTACATTTTATCACTTTTGCTTATAATTTCGATTTTAGGTTCTTCACTAACAAACAGTACTTTTACAGTTCGGCCGCGCCTACTGTGTTCACGCTAACACATGCACTTCGTTGTCTACAGTTCTCACGATGATTGGGAAAATAGCGTGTACAAAATAATGAATTCTTTACAGTTCACTCGCCACATGCAGTTTTAAGATTAGCAAAGTAGTTATCCTTCTCTCAGGGGATTATTCAACGTACTTTGAAAAGATCCAGTGTTCGTCACCATGAGAAACTTAAAATCGCACAATATTCCGCACAAAGTTCACAAATATTTCTCAGGATTGTTATTCACTCGTGCTATGAATCTCGACCTGGCCGCAGTTCCTAATACTCACAAACTCACAAACGACGATGTTCATATTACATCAACGTGCCCCAACAAGTTACAACACGAACTTTAGCTAATCCAGGTATTACTCGCGCAACTTTTCTTGAATAATGATCTTACTTCCCCCTCTTTGCACAATAAACAGTTGAAGGCAAAAGCTTGCAGCGAGCACTGATGACAACATTTCAAACACACCTTCACTGGCGCGAAATATAAACTATTTTTTTTGTTGAAGAGAACTTCTGTTCGTGATTTTCTCCAGAAAAATGTAAAGAAATTACCGAAGCAGGCGAATATCCATCACTGGAGACACCTCGAACTCTTCAGAAAGTTAGAACTCAAATTATTGAGAGAGTTGCGATTCTTCAATCCATCGTTCAAGAAAGGTTGCGCGAGTAATAACACGTTTATCGTTCATTGAAAATTTGTGGCCAGCAAACTACTTCGTCCGGATCACCCTAGCACTTCCGTTCTGCCTCCGAAATCGATTTTCCGAAGAGCAGTGCCATCTCTTGGTCAGTTCGTCAACCAAATCATGTTATGCAAATATCGCCATGAATTATCAACCATATCGCTATGAACATTGCAATATCCCCACATTATGACGAGAGAATGTGCATTACGTCATAATACAATGAAATTGCAAACACATATATTCTCTGAAATATATATATGAATGGTCCAATGTTTCTTGTATTACAGAGTAATCATATTAATAGAAGCGTTTTCGACTGCGTAGGACAACATAGACGATTACCTCTTGTGCAATTTTTCATAATTGCATTTGAATGTGTCCTCTCGGTGGTTCTGCAAGAAAATGGGTGGTTATTCGGAACACACATTGCTCGTGAAGAGTTTGTAAAGCACAGCTGATGGTTCATTTGGTCTAAAGAAGACGAACATGCTAGCTAGCCTGGTTCTGTTAGCGGTAACAAACTGACCCACTCCAAGGCTGCCGCATTGTTCGAATGCTAACTGCGGAGCGTCTTGGCCAATGACGCGTCAGGAGTGTGATCAAGAACCAACTCTAACCGATTGCTGGAAGCTACTGTGATTAGGCAGGTCACTTGCCACTTCCACAGTTAATTTTGGTTTATTTCCCCTCAACTGAGGTCGTAAAAAGTCTTACGATTCCTGTTAACACAGCAGTTATTTTTATGTCAGTGTTTATTATTTGCTGAATCGTATACTTAGTAATATTTTATTTTACTTAATTAGGTAATTTAAAATGTTTCTATGTGTTTTGCAAGAATCCATCGCTGCTGGAGGTGAGGGAAATAAATATTTTTGATTGGAATTGTTGATTCTGCTCAGCTGCAGAGCGGCCATTGTTTACGGAGGTATCAAAATAAATGAAATAATAACTTCTTGAAAGTTATTAAACGTTTGATCAGTGTAATTTGGATGACAAACGTGACCGTCAGTCGCTTTTTTATCAAAATTGCTGAGCACAAATCAAAAAACTAATAAGGTGAATACTGAATTATATTTGAATGTATTGAAGACGCACTTTCAGAAAGTAAAAATTCAATTATGTTGTATTGCTGGTTTGAAAGAACTGTGTTAATGTTTTTAAGGAAGACGATATTCACGCTACGTTTTGGATAACCTAAAATAACTGAACATTTGAGTGTTCATGGCGAATGAAGATCTTTACCATCTAAAACATCTCGGGTAGTACAGACATGGACTAAACTTCTGAGAGATGAAACAGGAAGTAACTGAAACAACAAATGATAATGCGTACTGACCACCAAAGACTGGTTCTGCTTAGATGTTATTCAGGGCTTGATTCTTTTTTTGTTTTGTGTTGGGAGCAATAAACCTTTGTTTTTTTGTTGTTTTTGTTTTGTGATGGGAGCAATAAACCTTTTTTCTTTAACTATGTTTAATTGAATATGACGGTTCTCTCAAAGCTAAAGCATATTATTCTTAAAAAATTCACGATTATTTTCTGCTCTAATTTCTGACGAGTTTATTCTATTTTTCTAAAATAAAAACGAACACTATTTATTCATTATTCACGACATCGTAGAAAATATTAATCCCTTTCTATTTTATTTAACAAGACTCATACTAATATCATGATTGCTCGTAACATAACATCAGAGAGTTTTGGTCGTTTATATCTATTATTCATATTTATAATGGGAGAAATGGTCACAAATACATGTGATGCTAAACATTACCCTTCTTGCAATTGCTTATATTCCTTGTTTATGCCACTCATGATGTGAGAGATTGCTCATAATTTTCTTCATTTTGCTGTCGTCTGGAGATTTATAACATTCCTGGCGAGTAATAAATTATTAAATTATAAATTTTTGTTAGTTAGAATTAAATAATTAAGTTTTTAAAAAGATCACTGGTTTAAAATATTGTTCAACAGTCACAATGAGCATCAACTAAAAAAATACATACAATGGTGGATAAAAAGGTGCATATGTAGCAGTTCTTAGAAGAATGTAAACAGTGAATTATTGCTCTTGTAGCTTAAAATACGGGTCATCACTTATTTAAATAACTGGGAAAATGATTTACAGCCTGGATTATTGTATTAGACGCCCCGGCATTCAATTTACTCGCCGCGTCGTGCAACGTCAGTCTTCTCCCCTCCCCCAAAAGCTTCCTACCGCCCTTCAATCGCACTTTCAGCGCTATCGCGGGCAGACGGTCGAGTCGTAAGTGCAGAATACCCGCGGGAGTAGGCGTCGTGCAGGTTTGATGTAGAGGGATTAACTTCCTACAAAGCATGGCATCTTGAAAGCTAGTGATTATTCAGGAAGAACCAACTAAGGAAAGAGTTGACATCCTACTTCACCTTTTGCAGTTCATGCCACAAAGAAAAAATGCGCTGTTCGAAAACTAAACCACTCTACACTACCACTACTCGAGCACTCCAACAAACTCAGCATGTTCTCAGACGTGTTTTCTGCCCATCAGTATTTTCACTTGCTATTGTCCTTGAAGGCAGGTAAATCATGCTTCTCAAGGCCGAATTTACAAACCCGCTGGAAGTTTTAGGGTAGCTGCGAAGCTCGGTGAAAGTTAAATTATTCCCTTCAGTACGCACAAAGCGTAATTCACGCACAGTCGACATACGTACAAATATCTCTGCCGGAATGCCGACTTATACTGTAAAAAATGTTGGAGAAAATGAGGGAGAGAGAGGCAGAGAAGAAGAGAGAGGAAGAGAGAAGGAGAGAGAAAGAGAGGGATAGAGGAAGAGTTGCAGAGAAGAAGAGAAAGCGAGGGAGAGATGAGGGAGAAGGAAAGAGAGTGAGGTAGGGAGAGAGAGAAATAAATGAAAGCTATCAACCAATTTTGCAATTAATGCCCCTAATCTAAATACTTTGCCTATTTTGATGCTTTAAAAAATGTTCTGATGATTTATTAAACTAGCGTCTTTATATCGAAATGAAGGCTGACTACGTTTTTCTAACTTTTCCGCTGCGTTTTCTTGAGCTTTAGAATATCTTCGTCACTTTTTTACTACATTAAGTTTAATTTTGAAAAATACCAACAAGCGTCGTTCTTAAACTAAACTTTTCTGCTTCCAGTAATAGAAAAAGCATTTTCATCAGCAAATGAATCCCCAGTTTGTAAGTTATTACATTTCTTATAAAACATCCATTCCGGTCCTACTCCTCCCGCAACGTGTAAAATATAGCTTATCAAAAGATGCGCATAGTGAAGCTATGTTGACAGTCTAGAAGCAAAACAAGGGGCTTATCTCAGCGTTTGCTCAATAGGTCAAGGGAAACTGGACGAAAAATCATGTCGAAATGGGAATAATTTACACAAAACCTGAAGTAAAATACTTATTATAAGCATATTTTGACTTTCATAATTATTCTATGTAAATTTTAAGAAATATATTTGCATCACGAAAACAAATATCATGGTCATTTGTTTGCTTAACACATTTTTCACGTGATTTACGTGAAATATGAACATTAAGCGACTTCGAGATTATTATTATTATTATTATTATTATTATTATTATTATTATTCATATCAAAAAATAAAATGTTTTAAAATACGATCATTTTAATGTTCGCGGTTTAATAATTGTAAATGGTTTTAGAGAAGTAATGAAATTAGAGTTCTTTTTTCTGACCACCCCGGATGTAAAGCAACGAGTTGCCACTGTTTTACAAATGTTTTATTTTACATATACAAAATATATACAATTTTCGTAGAGTTTTTATTCAATTCAATAAACACCAATAAAATGGTACAAGCTCAATTGAAAAAGGGCCTAATTTGGCAGCGAAGAAGCCACGAGCAGAGCTGCACCATAACGCACTTGTGCTGAACGCGCGGCGGTAGAAACGCTGAGAGGAAAACATTGATTGATTACTAGTGATTCCGAGAGCGGGGCGGGGCGAGGGGGAAAGGATAGAAAGGCCCCCTCTAATTCCCACGCCGTGCGTCTCCTGCAGTTCGTCACAATCTTCAGCCCGTTTGTACAGTTTCTTCCAAAATCCGAAGTTTATTACAATTTTTAATGAAACAATTCTACAATTGCAAAAGGGCCTAATTTGGCAAAATTGAAATTCTCAATTCTCAATTGAAAACGGCCTAATTTGGCAGCGAAGAAGCCATGACCAGAGCTGCTCCATGCTCTTGTACTAAACGCTCAGCGGTAGAAACGCTGAGAGGAAAACATTGATTGTGGGAGCGTCAACTGATAAGATCATTAGTCCCGTAAGCGAAGTGCATGCTTTTAATTTGCCTGTGGCTGAGATCGTGCCCCGCTACGTGTCAAGAACCGGCGCCGACGTACCGTCGCCAAGCGGTTTTCCTCAGCCAGGTATCTCCCACCAGCGGGCACCGCCCCAGCAAGGAGAAGCTCTAAGCTCTCGACCGATCTCCCGGTATGTATGGTTATGTAGTGCACGGGTAAGTGTATGTAAGCGGTGAGGATAGTACAAAGAATTGGAAGGAAAGATCGCGCGCAGTCCGTGGCCCGTTTGTTAGGGTACTGCTCCGGGATTCACCTGGTACTGATCGACAAAAAACACGGGAAACTACCGATCAGAGCCGCTAAAATTATCTTCCAGACTGCGACAGAACTCGACCTAGCTATCTGGAAAGTGTCGGACATTCTGCTACCATCAGGTCTCGAACGCCAGGACCTCCCAGCACTGCAGTGTCATCAGTTGATGCCCTGAGCCACCTAGGCAAGCGA